TATGAAATATAAGTAATATTATAATAATAAGTAATAATCAGGGCCGGTTCTATCTTGAATGCATGCGAAAAAAACGAGCGCACGCCTTAGGGCCCATAAGTTAGGGGGCGCCAACACAAAATTGGGATATGAAATTTTCAATATAGTTTATTTTTCAATATAATTCAAGAAATATATATTTTTGCATCTTTTACTAATCTTTGCACAATATTTTTGAAACACGTTAAAAATTTCACTTTAAAACAACAAATGAGGAAGTAAAGATGAATACATACAATTCGGCCCTTACGATATCAATTAAGAGATGTTTAAGATGCAATTTTGGATATTTTAAATAATAAAAAAATAAATTAAAATAATCCAACATAAAGTACCCGTGTTATTTTATGGTTATATTTAATAATGAAAAGTTAAAATTTTTGAAGTAAAACTTCTTTAGGCGCGACTAGGGAGTAAATCTGTGAAAATGCAACGGAAGAACGTTACGCTCGCACTCCTATATTTATGTTATTGATAGCGGTGCATTGTGGACACTGATCAAGGTTACAACGCAAGTGTAGTCACGCACGTGCAATGAAGGAGTGGAGCGGGTTGTGAGAAAGGGGAAAGAGAAACAGATGAATGAACAGAGAAATTTGTTAAGTGATAAAATTTTGGGGAAAAAACCTATCTTTAGTTCGTTCTGTTTCGAATAATAATTCTTATCCTTCATATCTAGTTAATAACGTCATTAAAAATAGATTAGAGTTTTTACAAAACAATTTAAACAGTTCTTCCTATCTTAACAATTCTTTTTAGCCATCTATGATATATCGAAAACACGAGTAAAGCGCATTTGTTCTACGTTTCCCTTATTACCTCGAATCAGCGACATGTCCCGAGAAGACACATCCGATATGATCGTCGATTTCTATGATTTTCTGGATACTTCCTGGAACGACAAGAGGAGACCTCTCATTTTTCTCAACAGCCAGGATGACCCCTTCGTGGGTTTTAATGCCAATTGCAGTGGAGCCCAATTTAATGGCTTCGACAGCATATTCCACTTGAAACAGCCTACCTTCCGGAGAGAACGTGTTGACGCCTCTGTCGTATTCTGTTCTTCTCAGAAACATTGTAAAATATTGTTGGATATAGTAAATGTCATATGTTATGACCTGGAATGGCTTACTTGGATTGGATTTTTAGCTCGCTTTTGTCATTCATTTTGCTTGCATGTCATTCATTTTGCTTTGCTTTGCATTTTGCATTTTTAGCTCGCTTTTGTCATGGATTCTAGCAGATTCACTATTTTAGTACAAACTATTTTCAGAAAACTCACGATTTTATAAAAACTTTTTTTTCCATTTTTTTTTTAAAATCGAAATTATTTTCATTATATCTCAAAAAGAATAAAAGATACGAATAAAAGCATATAGATAAAAATCAATGGGATCTTTCTGGCATATTATTGTTTCTTATTATTTTTCTCTCACACAAAATTGACAGGGTTATGAATGTTTAAAGGCGGGCGCGCCGCGCAAATAGGAAAAAAAAGTTTTTATAAAATCGTGAGTTTTCTGAAAATAGAAGAATCCATCAAGATGTCTATAATGAAGTGAATTCTAGATGGAATGTGAATTACTTTAATTTTGGTGGAAATGGCGCTCATTAAACCAAAAAATTTAAAAGAAAAAAACTTTGTATATGCTTCTTATTTGCATGATAGCTCACTCATTTTACACGCAAAAAACTTGCAACAGCACTCATTTTGAAGCTTATGTGAGCACTATTTTTTATTTATTTATTTATTCATTTATTTATTTATTCATAAGCAAGCCGTAATCAATAATAATAGATATAATACTATAAAACCCAATTTCACCAAAATGGATAAAATGCAAAACCTCGACACTAGATGGCTTTAAATACAACAATTAAATCTTGAACGAAATAAAAAACGACTTTGCTCTTTCAAATCTTTCTTAATATTTTTCCTAGAACATATAATAATGTAATACCGAATAAATTATGTAATACCGATTTATTAAGATTTTTATTGACATTATTTTATTCATTACATGATTGTCGTTAGAATGTATATTTTAGGAGATATTTGCAAAAAAACGAAGAAAAACGCCAAAAATATATGAATCTTTAGTGGCCAGTAACTTGAAAAGTATTAGTTTTCTTAAAAAACTATAAAAGACATTTTTTTCTTATAATTAGTTCTTCTATCGATTTCTGACATTATTTTGAAAAAATGTAATTACACAATTGAGAGGGGGTGTCACCCCCCCGGGGGGTGATGGCGCAACCCGAATTGTTTTCACTTTTGAACTTGAGGGTAAAATGAACCTAATTCCAAAATTTCATTCAACTCGGAGCACAGTAAAAAAATTCAGACCTAAAACGCTCCGTTTACTGCACTATATACGTTTCAGAGGTTTCTGAACATTTTGCAATACCTAAGAAAATATGGATGCCTGTGTATTTTTTGTATAGCGAAAGAAATGCCTTTAAGCATCCCAGACTAGGTCTTTTGTCTGGGTATGTCGGACTCGATACCGCCTGGGTATAACACCGACTAAAACCTCCGCTTTGCCCTTCAAATCAAAGTGCTCAAAATAAAATGTTCAAGTTATTGGAACTTATGTCCTGGATGTTGTTAACAAGTTTGTTTAAAATTTAGTATCAGAGTATATATAGACATTTTCATGGAAATTTAGTCAATTTTATCCAGTTTCTACTGAACTAATAAGTTAAGAAAGCGCAGAACTAAATTTTTAAGTTATTTGAATAAATGTAAAAAAAATGTCCTGAAACCATATATGACCAAAAGACAGAGCGTTGTAACTCGTTTTACTCAAAATTTTAGCACTAAAGTATATAAAATGATTTATATGGTATTATTTTAAATTTTACCTAGTTTCTGCTAAGCTAATAAAATCAGAGTGCCCGAAACGAAATTTTCAAGTTATATGAAGAATTGTGAAAAAAGGACCCCATCCATATATTTGGAGGGCATCAGTCGAGCATGTTTTACTCGAACTCGCGTTCCAACTTGTTTTATTCAAAATTTTAGTATTAAAGTATATAAAGCAGTTTATATGGTACTTTAGTAAATTTTATCTAGTTTCTACTGAGATAAAATTAGAGTGCTCTAAATAGAAATTTTAAGTTATATGACAAATTGTCGAAAAATGTCCCGAAACCACATATGGCTCAATGCTAGGCGTTGCAACTCGTTATATTCAAAATTCTAGTATTTACGTATATAAAACAGTTTATATGGTATTTTTATAAATTTCATCTAGTTTCTGCTAAGCTAATAAATCAAGATTGTCTGAAACGAAATTTTTAAGTTATATGACGAATTATAAAAAAATGTCCCCGTCCATATTTCCACCTTTGCTATTCTCTAATAGCAAAATGTAGTCGATCTGTTTTAGTTATATGCAAACTCGTGTTTCAACTAGTTTTATTTAAAGTTTTTAGTATCCAAGTATATATAATAATTGATATAGTAATTCAATCAATTTTATCTAGTTTCTGCTAAGCTAATAAATTGAAGTGCCCTAAACAAAATTTTCAAATTATTTGAAAAAATGTAAAAAAAATGTCCTGAAAGCATATATGGCCAAAGAACTGAGCGTTACAACTAGTTTTACTTAAAAATTTTTATTAAAGTATATATGTTAATTGATATAGAAATTTAGTAAATTTTGTCTAGTTTCTGCTAAGCTATAAAAAATTAGAGTGCCCTAAACAAGATTTCAAGTTATATGAATAAATGTAGAAAAATGTCCCCATCCATACATTCCCTGACTGCAAAATGAAGTTGAGACTATTGTGCATTTTAGTTATAATCAAACTCGTGTTTCAACTAGTTTTTTAAAGTTTTTAGTATCCAAAATATATAGTAATTGGAATGGAAATTTAGTAAATTTTATCTAGTTTCTGATAAATTAATAAAATTAGAGTGACAAAACGAAATTTTCAAGTTATATGAATAAATGTAGAAAAATGTGCCCGGCCATATATTGCAAATGGCGAGTTTGAACTAAGACCAGATTTAATCAAAAATTTTATTTACCTTTACGGGAAGTTAATTAACAAGTCAATAGAATACATCACATGGTTAATTTACACAAATCTCTCTTGAGTTATAAATAAAAACAAAAAAGATAAATACACAACACAAGATATAGATTTTTTGCAATGGCTGTATATTTAACACCTTTCCTGTTAGTTTAACAAACAAAACACAATTTTTACTTTGTAAATTAACTGGGATTCAGCACTATGAACACTTTTTCACATTTTTTAACGTTATAATTAATTATTCGCACTTTTAACTGTCCATTTGAAACATTTCAATTTAACACCGAGAATGATTTGACAGCTCAGAAAATTCTTTGATAAAAAAGCATTTATCTATCGTTGGTACCACTGTATGATAAGGTTATAAAAGTTAAGTTGGTTTCTGTCAAAATAGTAAATATTGCATAATAAATTCTGTCAAAATAGTAAATATCGCACCATAAATAAAGAGTTTTTCGTGTATATTATAGTATTTTCACATTTAATACTAAAAAATCAAGTTTATATACTTCAACATCTTTTGCTAGAGAATAATCAACAAGAAAACATTTTCTAACCTCAAAATGGATTTCAAAGGTAAAGTTGTAATAATAACAGGAGCAAGTTCCGGAATAGGCGCTGATTGTGCTCAACATTTATCTAAACTCGGTGCCGACTTAACAATAACCGGTCGAAATCTTGAAAACCTCAAAAAAGTCGCTGAGCAATGCGAAGGCACACCCTTAATCTTAAACGAGAGAACTAACCGACGAAGCCTTCGTCAAGCAACTAATAGACGAACCATAAAAAAATACGGCAAACTCAATGTCCTCATCAACAATGCCGGCATGTTGGAAACAGGCACCATCGAGACAACCAGTCTAGACCAGTACGACAGAATCATGAACGTTAACATGAGATCTGTGTACCATTTGACAATGTTAGCAGTGCCTCATTTGATCGAGACGAAGGGAAATATAGTGAATGTCTCGAGTGTTAATGGTATACGCTCTTTTCCTGGTGTTTTGGCTTATAATATATCCAAAGCGGCTTTGGATCAGTTTACAAGATGCGTTGCTTTGGAACTGGCGCTTAAGCAAGTTCGTGTTAATTCTGTTAACCGGGGGTCATTATTACTGAGATACATAAACGGGGGGGAATGGATGATGAAACTTATAAAAAACTTAAATAATAAATACATATACATACAGGTATATATATATAATAAATATATATATATATATATATATATATATATATATATATATATATATATTAATATAATTTATTTTTAGAACATTGCAAAACTACTCACGCCTTAGGACGTCCAGGACAAGTAAGTGAAGTATCCAATGCCATTGCGTTTCTTGCAAGCGAGCACAGCAGCTTTATTACTGGTGCTTCGTTACCGGTTGATGGAGGCAGACATGCCATGTGCCCACGATGAAGTATTATAGAACAAATAATATAAATACTATACATTCTATAATATACTACCTCCGCACTTCAAATAGATATAAATAGTTATTAATTGCTGTTGATATCCCTAAAATGTATATGGTTTAATGTGTTAAATATTTTTGTATTTATATAAATAAAGTAAAACCAAATCGTATTTACCTAAAGACATTTTTCTCAATTTGACGTTATCAAGTTAAATCCATGGTTTTTACATCATCATGTCCTGTAAATTAATATTCCTTCGATATTAAACTCAAGACATATGTATCAATCTCAAGTCATTACTTATCAAAGGGTCTTACATAAAAATATTATATATATATATATATATATATATATATATAAACAACATCCATTATTTTTTATATAGATATAATATATTCATATATTTCTTTGGTTACAACAGATACATTCATTTTCGCTTACACATATAAACCTTAAATGAAGAAATACTGCTTTTTAATTTTCTAATTGTTAATTTGTTTAAACTTACTTTATATTTATATTTATATATATAGTGTGTGTTTGTGTGTGTATAAAAACTCCATAAAAATAATAGACATCAACCCATTTTATAATAGTAGGTACAGAT